ATTATCACCATCATAATGACATAGACGCATTTATAAACGAGACGAAAACAACATAAACATTGACATAAACCTCGACCTAAACCGCCAGCATGCTCGGTCGCAGGTATAAGCGCCGTAACCCTCCCAGCGAAAGGGATCGGCGCCGCAAGAAAGAATCCGAATCTCCTTATAGGCGATCGACTCCCTCCCTCCCGACTGTCATTTGTTCCCCATAGACGCCTGGGCTTGTTTATGATCCCACCGGACTGCCTCGTTCATGTTGGTTCTATGTGGATTATGTGGCGAGAAGCATCGATTTTTCATGTGGATTAGGTGGATAATCGCTCGCTCTGCCTAAGGATATGTGGGCGAATCAAGCGTGGGCGTCGGGAACTGTCCCCGGCGCGCCTACGGGACAGGTGAGTATGAGGTGCTATGTGGATATGTGGGGTTTAAGGGAAGGGAGACTATGAGGTGGAGTGTATGTGGGGTTTAAAGGAAGGGAGACTATGAGGTGGTATGTGGATATGTGGGGTTTAAAAGAAGGGAGAATATGAGGTGGTATGTGGATATGTGGGGTTTAAAGGAAGGGAGACTATGAGGTGGAGTGAGGTTGGTGGAGGGCTGTTTAGGGGGGGGAAACGGGCGAGGGTGGGGTTGAATCGGGTTGTTTGTGGGTGGGGGTTGGGTCCTAGCTGGCAGGAGGTATGTTGGTCATGATGGGCAGGCTATGAGGTGCTCTGTCCTCTCCAGGGCCCATTGCGTCCGCTGGCCCAACATAGCGGCGGTGCTAGGCCTATAGCAAGGGGTATGAGGTGTGCGAAGGGAAAAGCAATAGATTATATGTTGTTTGTAGAAGAACAGGATCTTATGTGATATTTATGTGACCCCCCCCCCCCCCCACCGCAGATCCCCAAAGGAAGGGAAGGCCCATTCTCCCCCCCCCCCCTCTGAACACTGACTCTTTTGGGTATGGGTATTCCAGCAAATTGGGGCATAGGGAAGCCAGCATTCATGAGTAGTCGGGTGGCTTGCCGAGGCTCGTATCATGCCCCAACGTACATTTATTTGTACCTAAACTCGTATTTTATTACGCTAAAATACTGATATTTAAAAGATCTTTAAAATGATCCCAAGAATTTTGGTTGAATAATAGGTTACACAATTTTGAAGTTTGCAAGTTTCAACAGTTTTTGTTGCCGAAGAATATAAAGGAATTATACAAAATTGTCCAAAATATAAAGATTTTTGACAATTTTGACTTCAGCTTCCTTAATATCTAACATATCCATGTGAGACTTTCACATATGATAATACATGTTCTGCCTATTGGAAAGTTTATTATTAACAATCTAAATATTAAGTTAATAAGTAACTGTTGTTTAATAATTAATCAACATAATTAACTGTAAAAAGGGTCATTTCACGTTAAATCAACACATTTTCTCAGAATAACACTCACCACCTCAGATTTTGATGACATTTAGTTAATTGTGGTGAATTATAGTGTAAATCCACCCTGTCAATTTTAATTTACTATCTTTTACTATTTTTGAGATATGCCTAATTGAAAAATTGTTTGTCATACCCAAAATATCAAGCTTCCAATGCCCAAGCTCTCACAGGTATCTGACGACCTACTCATGATGATGCTTGTGACGATGTTGTAAATGAATTTCACTGAAATAAAGTTGATGGAATACAAGTTAAAATACAAGTTAAATAGTTTATACATCAATCTCAAGAAATCATTATTTCTAATAACTTTTGGGCTGGATTAAGTAATAATAAGTTGAAATGAGTTGAAATGCATCACGGACAAACTCAAGGCAACATCAACATGCCACATTTCACCTTGCAAAGTGCCGTTCAATTCTGCCAAAAAAAATTATGTTCTATTCATCAGAATTTCATAAAAATCGACATACATAAAGTTAAAACAATATTAAATAGTTTGAGATACACTGTGTAGGATTTGGAACAAAGGAAAATGGAAATTTCTGTCTTCAATTCATCCTCAGTGTTCGTGCGGCTGGCGACAGACGACAGACGACTGCATGGATTTGAATTTTTTTTAAATGAGGCTGAAGTTCACATGTCCAATGGCATAATTTGAATAAATGCCCCAGAGAATTTATTGCAAAAGAAAAAAAAACTTTTTTTTTTCTTTTTTCTTTTTTCTTTTTTTTCTTTGGGAGGCATGCATCCGAGTCTGGAACACAGGAAACAACAAAAATCTGAGCCGCCCCCTCGCAAAATATACACGTACCTACCCATTGTGTCCACTGCAGGGCACACACCAATTAGCATGGCCTAGACTTCCGCGATTATTTTTAATGAAAGAAGAGGTTGAGCATGGGAGAAGTTTGTTGACCTTTAATCATGTTACTGAAAGTGATGCACCAGCCAGAGATGAAGTTCCAAAACCAGGGTATCATGCATACCTAAAAATCCAAACCTAACTTTTCCTACCTTCTATTCATTCACTAGACAAGGGGGCAAACCCACCCTATACACCCCC